CCTAAAAAAACAAAAAAAGTAAAATTAAGTAAAGTTAAAATTAAGGTACGGCGACCGAACTAACTACGAAGTAGGTCGAAACTTAAACTAACTACTACCACTACCTACCCCTACCCTCCTCTCTCTCTCTCTCTCTCTCTCTCTTGTATCAGAGCATAAGAGATAGCATCGCAATAACAATTCAATCCGAAAGTAAAGAGCAAATAATATATGGGTCGAGATCAGACTTTGGAAACATACGACCCAAATTAATAAAAAGTAACAGACCATTTTGCTAAGTATGAAATCTTGGTTAAAGAAGAACCATCATAATAACTCCATGAAGATTTCTTTAAATAAATAATAACAATAATAATAATAACTCCATGAATAAATTTAAAAATATAAGTTAAAACCCATGCTAATTAGATAATAAGAGTTTGTTCTGATGAAGGAGAATTCAAAATCACACTTTTTAAGAATTTATACCAGCAAAATTAAATAAATTAACAAAAACAAAAGCTTCTTTTAGAAAGAGATGGCAAACCAACGAGTTAAACATCCAGATCAAGTCATCAATCATGAAATCATGGAGTATTGACCACACAGCATACTGCGTGCAATTTAAGTACAGAAATTGAACCTGTACACAAAGTGGTCAAGACAAAAAAAACTCCATTCCGCTAAGTTATGGCCTCAAACTCCATCAATGTATATAATCTTTTCTCACTCAAGCATGTACACACGAAGTCTAGATTTGATTGACACAAACATGTCCCATGCATTCACTAGACCCTAAAAGAGTCCCTAATCTGCACGAGTACTCTATTTATCAATCTACCTATCAATCTAAAAGCACAAACATGGAGTTCCCTCTGCTGTTAAAAAACGAACTTTGCATAAGACTCCAAACAGCTGACCTTATAGTAACTAGGCACAGACTCCATGGAATTGAGGAAAACACTGGAGTCTCAGTTTTCTTCCCTTTTTTATCTTCACCTTCCCCCTTTCCTTAGGGTGCAATTACCTTTGGCAATGCAAATCACAGATGACCAGCAAATCCTATGTGGACTTGTGTTACTTTTGAGGAGTGAACTCTCTCTCCTAGCAAGCCAGTTCTATAGACTGACAAACCCATATGAGGACAGTGAAGCCCCTTCGGTCTTGGACCATGCAAAAGGTGAAGATGGTGCGGCATTGGTGCATGGTGCACATACGTGGGCTAGCTGCTGGATGAGCCTCCTCCCTTTTTATATTTTCACCTCCCCCTCAGACCCCTTTCCTTAGAGTTCAATTACCCTTAGCTACAAATCACAGAGGACCTGCAAATCCTAAGTAGACTGGTGTTACTTTGGAGGAGTTAACTCTCTCTCCTAGCAAGCCAGTTCTTTAGACTGGCTTGAATTTGTAATCAGCATTGTAACTAACCATGCAGGCTTGAATTCAGGCATGGGAAAAAAAGACCTAGGGAATGGGAGTGGGCGGGCAAGGATTTGTGAACAACCCCCCCCCCCCATCCAACTTGATTAAGCCATATAGACATGCATTTGAAGTGTGGGGAGTAGGATGTGTAACCCACACTGTGGATGAGCATGTGGGGCTATATAAACCCCTTGCCTGGACCCTTCAAAGGAGATCTATAGTTGTATATTGCACAACTGTATAGTGATATAAGAGTGGGCTATGGCCCTTTATCTATTGCCTGAGTGTGTGATATTTGTGCTCGTTTGCTCTTTTCTTTTGTAGGGCTTGGGGAAGGTCGACCTAGCCTTAGTCATGGTGGGACTTAAACTTGGCCAACACAAGTTGGCTAAGTAAGAGATTTACCCCCTGACCCACCCCCCTTTTCTTTCAAGTGGTCATTCTCAGTCAGACAGTTCCCTAGAATTTAATTTATAAACTATATCCAACTGCAAGAATTTTCTATGAATAGAAATTTAGGAATCTAGTCATATGATAGAAATTCGTTTATGGCAAAGAGACCCAGGCATTCATACATGCAGAAAGAGCTGGTAATGTTGACACGATGCCTATTTCTAGAGAAAACCAAAGAAATCATTGTCACGAGTCAAATCAAGTTATCGTAAACTTATAATCCTGGGTTATTAGATATATCGAGCATAAGGAATAGATACCTAAATTAATACTTTTTAACTCAACTAATACTTTTTAAGTTTTAACTATCAATCCTAAAATGAACATTCAAAGGAAAAATCATCATCATCATCGTCACCACCACCATCACCACCATTCGAGCCTTCTCCCAACTATTAGGGTTCGATTACACGAATCTTGTTCCGTCATTCCGCTTTATCAAGGGACATACCTTCAGTCAGACCATAAGTCACAATATCATTTCTCATATTTCTATCAAATGTCCTTTTGGGCCTTCCCCTTGCCCTTTTAGAGGCTTCCACATGAACTAAATCAACCCCCTAAACGGTGTTGTTACGGTGTTGTTCTAGGCCGACGTTGCATATCACCAAACCAACTAAGTCAACTTTCCCTCATTGTATCACCTATTGAAGTTAACACTAAGTTCCCTTGAATGTATTCAATCCAAATTGTAATCATTTTCTTGCCACTTATCCATCTCAAACATCCTTATCTCAGTTACAGTCATTCTATAGATATGTTGTTTCTTGACCAGTGTTCACAAAATCGAACCAGAACGGTTAACCGGATATGAGCCCGAAAGCGGTTTAACAGGCCTAACGAGTAAACCGGCTAATTCAACCGCTCTAACCGGGCAAGTCCCAGGCGGTCAAAAAAGTGTTGAAAAAAATACAAAAAACTAAAATCTACTAAAATATGAAAAGCATATAAAGAATGATTCAAACAAAACACATTCAAATGAAATTAAAAATTAATGAAAAAATGGATTTTAACGAATTGATTTCTGCCTAGGGGTATTTTTAAAATCTTCTTAAAAAGATGGGAAAATATAAAAGTGAGTTATGAACAAAACAATTTTAATTATTAAAAAATGCATTACAAATCAAATTCCTTATTTTTGGGAATTTATGTACATTTTTTCGATTTTTTTTTTTTAAATACCGGTTGATCACCAAAACCGCCCAAAATCGGAACCGCCAGTGGCTGGTTCCGATTTAACCGAGTGGTTCGCGGTTAGATCGTCCAGTTTCACAAACACTGTTCTTGACCACCCAACATTCTGTCCCACAAAGCATGGTTAAACTTACAAATTACAACTGTTCTACAGAACTTCCCTTTCAGTTTCATTAGTATGCGAGGATCACATAAGACTCTAGAAGCACATCACAATTTTGTCCACCCCGCTCTAAATCTATGAACAACAATTTCTTCAAACTCTCCTTTATCATGGACTATCAACCCAAGATATAAAAAATAATCTCTTTTAGGTACTTGGCCATTCAATCTTATTAATTCCCCGTTTCTGCTCCCATTATTACTAAACTTGCATTCCATAAGTTCTTAGTTCGGTGAGTTTTATAACCTTTACATTCAAAGAAACATCTCAATCACAAAATGTATAAATTTGGCATTTTTGTTTAAGATAAGTATACTATGATAGCAAGTGGGCTTCAAGTATTATGCTAGCAGCTCCTCAACCATCCATTGTCATCGAATGGTGGACGACTCGCACACTGTTTGAAACCCAAATGCTGTCGTGCAGTGTTCAAGAAAGTGCAGGCACCCACCTAGGCATTTTGGGTGCCTGGCCGCCTAGGTGCCCAGGCGCCCGCCAAGGAACAGGGTACCCTCATAAAAATTGAAACCCTTAGGGAGTTTTTAGGGCAATTTTAGAGCCCCAAACACCTCGTGATATAAATTTAAACATGATAATACAATCACACACATAAGATTAAAGAATTAAGTCATTAACTATTAAGAAAAACATAAGAAACTCGATTTAAGTTTTAAAAGAAGATATTAAGAACATAAAAAGAAGATATGAAGAAGATAAAAAACTCGATATGAGTTTTAAATAAATGAATAGGATAAAAATGCTACTATGTTAGTTTTAAAACAGTAAGACTTAATATTACTTTACTATAACACTTAAATGAATATATAAGATCTTAGTTTCACTTTCACATAAGACTTAACTCATTAAGATATCACATAATCAATAATTTATCAAACAAAGTAAAACAAAAATAACAGAATATCAAAACATGACACATTGTACAAAAAACGAATCAACTATTCATAAAAGAATACGACATATCCCCAATTTCATCGTCCAACTAAGAAAAAATTCAATTAATCACAAAATAATCAATCTTTCAACTTCAAACATGTAAATATATCATAAAAGAAAAAAAAATAAAAGAAACGATACATGATTCACAATATAAAATGTTGTAGCAAAATCAAAACAAAACCCTTTTTCAAATATGATAGTACTTCAAAAATATCGAAATCACATTGATGTCGGTGCAAACCTCGTCTATAGGGTTGCCAAAAGTCCTCAAAATCAACTACTAGAAGCTCCGAATCCACCCACAAACTATTGCCTTTGTTTTGGGAAGAAATCGAAAAAATAAAAAATTTATCGATCTTTCAATCACAAAAGAGTGGTTTTTTGGGAGTTATTCTCTCCCTAAAAGGCACGGTTTTGGTTTTGGGGGTTTAGAAAACCCCCAAAGCCCTTTTCCCCTCTTTTTGGCGGGGGAAAAGACATTTTTACCCTCGCCGAGACCCTTTTCCGCCTTTTTTGCAAGTTGTCACGAGGCAGCGCCTAGGCGGCGCCTTGCCTGCCTAGGCCGGTGCCTAGTCGCAGAATGCCGAATGGCCTCGCCTTGCTAGCGCCTAGTTGTTTTAAAAAAATTTCTGCCTAGGCGATCAGGCGGGCAAATTTTCGAACATTGCTGTTATGGTATACACACATGTATATTAGCAAGTGGCAGTTCATAAGAAGCAGTAATTTTGATTCTCAGTATGCAGGGATAAAGAGTCGGACCTGCATGGCTTCATAAAGCTTCCTCTTCTTACGCGACATCAAAGACTTTGAGAGGTTCTCATTCTCATTAGGAGCATGATCTGGCTGAGGTATTGAGCCTTCAATATCCTCATCCAGGGTATTGCCTTGTAAGGGAACAGATGCAGAACAGGTAACACCTTGCATTTCAATTTTGAGTTCATTGTGGTATTGCTTCTCCAGGATCTCCCGCTGACACATGCAGACACGCAAATGTCAGACCCAACATGATAAAGAGAGGAAAAGACAATACCAAAGAAAAAAGAAAGCCCCCAATAACTATTGTAAAGAACGAATGGTTTCCAAAAAGACTTAATTTATTTAACAAAGAAGTATGCAACAAGTACTTTGCTGCTAATTTTCCAAATCCTATGCTAATAACAATTTTTGAAACACTAGTGTTTCAGCAATTTTCCTAAATAAAGAAAGCGGGAAAGTCATATATATTTGTAAAGCCTATGCTAATTCGAAAAACAATTTTGAAAACCAGTACTGTTTTCCGAGCAGTTTACCTTCACAATAAAAAAAGAAAAACAAAAAGAAAAAGTTTCCCTCTGAAAACAAATGCCCAACTAAGGACGAACAACATTATAAATAGCAGTAGACCAGGCACACACCTCCCGCTTCCTTTGGGAAGCTTCAGTGTCTTCACTCCTATTGATCACACCTTCAATAAACAGATTCTTAGGGTCATCTATGTCCTGCTGCTCTAAGTCTGGCATCGGCAGAAGTTGCTTTTTATAAGCTGCTTGGAGGCGCTTTATGGTCTCTGCATACTCAGGTACATAGCCTTCAGCTTCATTGTCAACAAAAGGCGACAAGTGAGGTGGAGCAACCCTGTCATAAAACCATATGGGGTAAAATGAAGATGAAAATCTGAGCATGTAAGGAGATGGTTACCCTACAATTTAACAGGGCACTACAAATATCACCGGTAGCAAAGATAACCACAATCTTACATTATGTATAACTTCATCTTTATGAGCTTTGAGATGATGACAATAAAACACTACTTTGAAATGTATGACAAAAATATGCCTCTATGATTCAATTAAATGCAATGTCCCCCCTTTCATCACAGCCAAGCAGCCAGCACACCTGCCCCACCGCACCCTTCCTCTCTCACACCCAACCTCTCCTTCCCCCTTCCCTCCCACGCTCCTATGCACCTCCCTCCATTCCTCAGAAAGGCAAACCCAACTTAGCACCTCAAAGGTGGTCAGGGTACACAAAAAGATGCATAGCTTTTATCATATACTTCAAAAAATAGGGCTGGTTTCACAATTTTTATTAAAACTCAAGGCATCATTCTAAATTTTACATAATGCAACCAGTGGAGTGAATCTTGAAGCCCATTGCATTTTAATACTTCACAATTGGAATAATTGGAAGCTAGCGTCCCTCAAATGTAGAAAAGTAGTTGCATCAACAATGAGGGGATAAAAAATAAATTAATTAAGTACAAGAAATAAGTTATAGAAATATGGATCATAGCTTAATGAGTTTTTGCAATGGACATAGAATATGCTTATTCCTTTTCCACATCTTGCAGGAAAAAGAAAAACATACATAAAGTTATAACAATGTGAGGATCAAAGTCCAGTTACAATCACGGCTGAAGTGATAGAGATTGGAGGACCTAGTTGGTAGCCTAGTAAGGAGAGAGTCATAGCTGGTTACTTGCACATGAAGGCAGAAGAGAGATGAAGGGGGAGAGAATACCATGGAAGAAACTGAAGTGCAGTAAGAAGAAGAGTTTTTGAGAACATGAGAAGGGTTTTGGGTAAGTACAGAAATAGGAAGTGGAAGGATCACCGGAGCACCATCTAACCTGATTACTCATCTTGACCCCTCTCGTCCAATGTTTGAAAGGGGGGCTGGTTACTCTTTTGCTAAACTTGTTAGGAGCATTAGATCCACTCCCATATGAAAATAATCAACTTATGAGAAACAGTAATATAAATGTAGGACCATAAACAGGAGCCCAAAAATTACTAGAAAACAAATATAAAAAGGTAGCCAGATTCATAAGTACCTTCCAATGAGATAATTTTCAGTTGGTATTATAATGAGAGAATTAACACAATCATAAACCCATTGTGGTTGAACATAGTCCCTAGAGAGGAACATATGGGGCTGAGTTGGCCTATCCACTATCTGTTACAGAAGATAAAAGTTAAAAGGCCACAAATATGTTTTAGGGCAAGCAAGAAAACAAAAAACAAACATGAATGGTGTGCAATGAAATCGTGATTATATTAATAAATAACGAAACATGCAGCACCAATACTCCATTCTCAAGCATTAAGTCATATAAACCACTTATAGTCGAAACCCAGCATCTTTTACAAAAGCATAAGAATGAACATAAGAGTTCCCATGCATGTGCATACTGAAATTTCTAAAAGATACCAAAAACTGGGATTCAATATATGACAAAGTAAATATTTTCAATAAATTAGTCAAATTAAATGCGAAACTTTGAACATGATTACAAAACCAATAAAGAAAAGAAATGTAATAATAAATAATTCAGTAAAAACTCCAATAAACACTTTCAAAAAATTTCCAATGAAGTATGAAACATGCAAATCGCATGAAACTTATTGGGGAAAAGACCCCAATTTATACCAATATTTTCCTCTTCCCCCATTTCTCAATATGAAAAAACACCATTGGTAAGGCCCTTCCAGTTTGCAACGGGTTGCAAAACAGGTCAGGTTGCCCTGGTGGGTCCGGGGTCCAGGTCTGGACCCCAAATATGCACCCAGCAGCTTAGATCTGGGTCCAACAAACTTGAACCCAACCAGGTCCAGGTCAGGGTCCAGGTATAGCCCAGACCTATCCAGTTCGTCACAGTTGGGGTAGGATCTGAGTCCAGCCTCAACAAACCTAGATCTGACCGAGTCCAGTTCCAGGTCAGACCCAAACCCTGACCCACTTGCACCTCTATCCAAGGGGAAACACTAAAACTTCATAACATTAAAGCGCATGCCTGAAGGATCAGAAAAATGTCACTCAATAGGTAAACAAGAGATAAATATCAGGGAATTAAAAAAGATCAATATTATGTTTTTTCTTTCCGATTGGTGATAGGAAACATTTTTAAAATTGATAATCCTTGTTCAAAGTAGAAGGATTGCTTTCGAGTTGGATGTGGCCATGTTTTGAAAGAAAGTAGGTGACTTCCCTCCTAGCAGAAACAGCAATCACTAAGCAAGAATTCTCGTCATCCAACAAAACATAAAGTGAAAAATTTTCCGGAAACAGTTAAGAAATTTAAAATAAACAACATGCATTAGCAATGATTCATAATCAGACTTGGGAAACTTGAAGAAACTTGAGAGTAAGACTACCTGATGAGTTATGCTCTCATCTGATTCTTTAATTGGAGAACCATCGCCATCCCATCCAACTACACCTCCAAAAGCAGGAATAACAAAGAGCAATGACTCCCTTGGAACCTATATGAAACAGGACTCATTAGCAACATTCATCTTTGCAAAAAATTCAATACATATTAGTGATGTTGAGAACTAGATTAATCAATAGAAAGAACCATCATAAAAAAAAAGCACTACAGAAACCAAAATAGGCATACTTGGAGAATAATTACGGAAATATTTCCTTAGACTATCAGCAAAATAAAGGAATTTTATTAAAACGCATCAAATGGAACATACCAGTAATGACATCAAAGCTAGCACATGAAGGCATCCATAAATGGAGGCCAAGTGAAAATTAAGGAAAAAATATGGAGAAAGTATCCATTCAACTCAATCTTTTTTAATATCCGGAGACATTGCAAATTCTCCTTGAAATTCCATGACATTACAAACAGGTGAAGCGTATGTTACATGGATTCTTCTGTTTGGGTGTCATATGCACGCAGGGCACATATTAATACGCATACTGATACAGATTGCTCTGGATTATTCTTGTTTATTAACCATTAAAACTTGATATTCACTTTTGCTTTGAGTGGACACATGAGAACTTTGAAAATATCTAGGGAACTTTAAAAACATCTTCAGATACAGCCATGTAAGGTGCAATATCATATAGAAGATTAGTAAGACATTGTTGGATTTGGTTGTCTCTTCATAAAATAGCCGCATCGACCATTTTCGTGGCATGACGAATCCAATATCCGATACTATGTCAAACGCTGTCACATGTCCCAATGACTGCGTAACATGCGTGACATATGAAGCTCCTTGTATACTTTCAGAAGATTACAAATCAATAAATTGCTAAGGAATGAGTAAATTAATAATGGGCTTTTCATCAGATAACCCATGAAAGATGGGGAGTTTTAACAAATGCATTTATCAATGTCATCATTGGTGGGATGGTTATTTTTTTTATGCTGTTTCAAACCATCAGCATTTAAGACCTCAATATTTTACAGTTTCTATTCTAATGAGATACTGGACTTACAAACACCTATCAAGCTGTTCTCTTAGATGATAAGCAAGTATCGTCCTTTCCAACCCCTATATTTAAGGGGGGAAAAGAGGAAGGACATCAAATTACACAATTTTTTAAGTACGCACCCATTATTTTTGTGTCTGCCCCCCAACACATGGGTGGTGATATAGATGCCAAGCTGATTTGGCCACCACATCAATGGATTATTTTACTAAAACAAAAAAAGAAAAAGAAAAGAAACATGTAGTTGTTGAATCTTTTCCTTTCTCGAAAGGGGAGGTTTTCTGGGTAAAGGGAAAAATTCAAAACTGCCCATCCTTCCATTTCTGACACAGATATGGACGAGTGATCTATTAACACCCATGACTCCTATGGAAGCGGAGTTAAAATGAGGCAGCTATTGGTTCTGGCCACCACAATATGTCACATTAGTATCCCATTGGGCTGTTCATAGTCATCATTTGGGAGTCTAACGTGGGCATATTTGGGCGGCCATAACCTCTTGATGTTGGAGTCCCCAACAACTACCTAAAAATATGGGTCATTCATAAAATTCCCATAACAAAATCCCATAAGCAAAGATTACAAACAAAAAAACTGGAAGGTCAAACTCAACAATAATTCATCAAAAAAAATGTAATGTCCAATAACACTTTCACTTTCCTTTTCTTACATATACTAAATTTCATATGATGATGCCTACAGTCATGATTATCAAAAGCAATGTTTAAAAAGTTGGGACTTGGGTATGAATTAACTGGCAGTTGATTTACCTAGAAGTAGTCCAAGTCACAATTTTGTGATATCGGCTTATTCAATACAATGGCAATAAATAATTATAAATGCTTCATTCGGAAATGAGTAAAAAACCAATTCTTTAGCATATGGATGGAAGCATGTTGGGGGGTCAATGCTCACTCCTTTTGCCCCCTTTCACATTAGAGAAGTCAAAAGGATGCCACTAATGAGTAGCATATTGCATTCTATTTGGAAACTCGTGCAGGTGGTCTTTCCAGCTCTGTTGTACAGCAGGAACTCCTAATCCATTACATTCTTGAACCTACGTCACTCTGGGAAAAAGCCTAAACATGCTGAGTTTCAGTCCATAAAAAATAGTAAAATGGTAGGAAATTCAAGGGAGAAATGGCATGACATGCAACATTTGTCACAGCTGAATCCTATTCAAAATCAGATCAGCATCACAGGTGGACTTTAGTGCATTTCAAATTCTGAATGGTGTCAATTTTTTTGGAATAGCATAAATTATCAGTATGCAACTAACTGCAGGTCTACATAAAATTTCTTCCATTTGGCACATGCATGAGTTGCACCTGATGCCATCTCTAATCTCTGGGGCTGAAGCCATTTGTAACTACTAGAGGTGTTTGATTAAGGTCCATAACAGTAAATGGTGGTATCGTTACAGTCAAAGCAAGATTGCATGAACAATAACCTTAGAATTGATTGCCACAGCTATTTTAGAACTTTGCCAACCTAGTGGGATTCTTCTTAGCTGTCAGCCATGAGTGAAGTGTCTTACAAAGCAATTCTACCATGACCTCGTGTAGCCATGAGTAAGGCTTTTCCCAATGCAATGTAGGTATTATTGAAAATGTACATTTATGATCATGTTCACGTAAACGAGGTGTTTTAACAACAATTTTAAGGAGTGTCTGAATGGGGGAAGTTAATCGTGCACCAAGGGATATTGCCGCAAACAATTTAAAAATATTTTTTTGGTAAATTATAGTTTATAAGAGATTTACAATACTTGCCTATTCTGTTTCATTATTTGGAAGTTTATAATCAACAGGAATATTTATTTTATTCACTCAGAAAAGAGCAATGGATTAAATAATTGAAATTGGCTATCTCAGGGAACCTCACACAATAAAATCATATTTGTCTCCCTCATAACCCTGCCCACTAATGCACGGAATGTGAATAAATTATAGAGGCTGGCACTAATTCACTCCAATTAAAAACAATAACTTTTGTTGCACAATATTTTATATGATGCCTACAAACCATAAGAATTTAATTTATAGTGTCTTGCTTGACATGGAAAATTTGATTATCCAAGGTTTAACTTTTTACTATTAAATTTTCCTTCGGAAATATTCTACAAACAAGCCCGCAAATACAGTAAACAGAATGAAACCCTCTGTTCTCCAAGCATGTAAGGACCTAGGGACCCCATACGTGCCCCTGTTGCATGCCATAAGACCTCAAATTTGAATAAGATGAAGTAATTTACCATGCAACATTCCTTTTTATTTATCATTAATCTCAAAGAAAGAAAGTTATCTTTTTATTACAACAATTCATGAATTCAATCAAGTGATAGTTATATGAAGAAACTAAGAAAGCAGAATGAACCATATTAATAAACAATAGGTGTACTAGGAGAAAAAGACTCACATATGAGCACGTATACTCTGCTCCCGCAAAGGTACACTGTACGTTTACTCTCTTGGGCAGAAGACTTCCTTGCAAAAATGTTTTTGATCCAAAATTTTGGGAACCAACTAAAGATCACTAGATTTTTTTTTTGTTTTTGTTTTTTTTTGGAAACACTAGATGATTATGTTAAAAGAAAATTTTGAGTTTTCTAACACTTAGATCTCATCCTTAAAAAATTGGACGGTTTCTTTTCAATCTGAGGCATTATTCTTTTCAAGCCCATAGAGAATGAGATTTGGAAAAAAAAATTATTGAGTTCATCATAAGGGTTGAGGAGGTTACATCCCCAAAAATTGGGGTCCTAACATACTCCTAGATTGGGGTTTTCCTGAGGGAGTAAATGGACATTATGCTCCCTTGGGAGTATGAAATCATTTGGCTTCATATATTAAACCACAACAGTGTGTATAGAAACCGAGGCTAGAACTTTTAGCACAATGAAAGCCCACCCTGACTCAAAAGGAATAAATTACGAAATCAAAATTAATAGAAAATTGACAATGGTACTAACCTCACGACTGAGGAAAATTTTCAAATTTTTGAAGAGAGCTTTGCACTCTCTAGTTTCCATGTCATCCTCATCCTCATCAATAACATCCACTACAAGACGTGTCAATGAGCTTGATTCATTGGCAGGAAGCTGGTTTTGAAGTAAAGCCAACCTTACATCAGTTTCATTCGGCTGCCTATCCGCTTGGCCTCCATCGACTTGCTCCGATTCAGAAGGGACAATAGCTTTATTATCAAGCAGCAGGGTTCTAGAACTAGCAGCCAAATACCTGGATAAAGCATAAAGGTCTGGAGAATAAAATAGAAAATGTCATGCTTCAGTAACAAGGATATTAACAAATGTATCAAATGGATCGAATTTATGACTGATTAGTAATAAAGACAATATTAACTTTCCTTCAAAAAACTAACAGGAAAGATGGGAAGCATGTAACAAATATCACTAATGGGTACTCTAATCCCCTCCCAGCCATCATACTGAAGGAGGTCAGATAAACAAGAAGTAAGCCAGTATCCTGAGAGCTTATCTTCTTTTAAAAATTTTGAATCCTGCCATATTTGACTCCTTGGTCTCAATGCCTCATAGGCAGCAAGTTTCTCTCCTACAATCTCCAGGCCTCTGTGCCTCTGTGGTTCACCTCTCTCGCTTTCTCTCTCTATCAGCAGGTCCAGGACTAGCCCCTTCTCTAGCCCTATCTCTCATGGGCACTTTTCCAATCTCTGCCATCATATATAGATTGATGACTGTTGATTTTCTTGCTCTTTTAGATACTAAGATGACAAGCAAACATCGTCCTTAAGTAGTTTCTTGTGACTTCTGTTTTCCTTTTAATTAAAATACACATCACATGGTTGAGAATTTTGGGCTACATTTTGCACTTGACTGCTCCCCAGCAGAAAAAGAGAAAAGTCTTTGATTTCTTTCTTGGGGTGAGAGAGAGAGACAGAGAGAAACTTATCCCAAAACTTTGAGGGTAAGGCAAACAGAAAAAATAAGAACTAAAAGTTTTTGGATGCAGTATCGCTCAAGTTGTCTACAAGGTTTAGATGAGGATGATAATTTTGAAAAGCCAGTCATAGAAACTTGGATCAATTGGAAGGGCAAAGATATAGGTCTAGCCAAAACAAGGGTTATCTGCGGGGGGAAATTGAACTTGCAGATACAACACAAATTGACGATTTGCACATTTATTTTTCTTCTAATCACTTTGTCCTCAACCTTTACCTCTCTATATTCACCCGATACAAAATCACACCCCACCAAAAAGAAAAAACCCAGATCTGTCCAGATACACCTCAGTGTACATCTTGGGTTTAGCTCAAGGGACAATTTACTATGTGGTGGCACCTCCTTGTTAAAGATATGTGACTGGCTTTTTGCAACCATCCAATTTAAACACGGCTAGGATAACTTCAATCAAAATGTCACAGATAAAGCAGAAACCTGGCAACCAGTGCTCTTCCAGTAGCCGTTCTCCCACAACGCAGAAAACCCATCTTTCTCTCTTCTTGGCAATTCCAAATCCCTCTCCTCCCCTCCACTTCTCCCTTCTTTCAGCTTCAAACCCCACTCTCGCCCCGAGTAGTCTGTCAATAAAAATCCCTCTCTCCTCGCCACCACTACAACCCCTTCCTCACATCATACTTCTATAGTGAGGCCATCTCTCTCTCTCTCTCTCTCTCTCTCTCTCTCTTTCTCTCTCTCTCTCGTGCACCGCTCTCTCCAAATCCCAATTTTGCCCATCTCCAAAATGCCCCTTTCTCTATCTCCCTTTCCAAGCCTCAATTTGTAGATTTCCAGCTACTCAGGGCAAAAGATCCATCTTGAAGCCATTAGTTTCTCCCTCATCACATCAAAGACAACTCCAAATTGATAAGAAACAGACCCAAAAAAGCGAATAGCATTAACCCACCTCAAGCCCATCGGTTCACTCTCCTATCACAAACAACATTACGAGAAATCAGCCACATCTTCTTTTGTTATCAATAGCAACAACCAGAAGTGGCTAAAATTGGGTTTACTTGTATAAAATTCAGGGCATTATTAGCTTCAAAAAGCAGCAATGAGGTGAACAAAGGACCATCCATAATGGAGTTTCAGCCTCTCTCTTGGACTTCGATGGAATGAACCAAGAACTACCATGAAAGCTATCAAAGAACTCAAATGCATGGACCCCGAACAGAGAGAAAGAGAGAAAGAAAACCCCTGGGGGGGGGGGGGGGCGGGCGGGGCCAAAGGGTAACAATGGTTAGAGAAAAGGAGAGATGCAGCCATGACGGTGTTTATTGGAAAGCAAAAGTTAAAAGAAAGAGATCAGGAACCAAGGGGTAAGAGTGATAAGAGAAAAGGAGAGATGCAAAGAGAGATGAGGAAGCAAGGGTGATAACAATGGCTAGAAAGGAGAGATGAAGCCATGAGGCAGCTCATTGGAGCGAAGGAGAGCCATGGTAGAGCCTATTGGAGGCCAAGATTTAGAAGAGAAATAAAGAGAGAGCATTAAGAGAGAGAGTGAGAGGGGCCCTTTAGATTAGCAAATAGATGATAGCTGGTTTCCCAAGTTTATCTTTTCAGTATAGTTCATTTCCAATCAACTTATCCCAACTGCCTATTTAAATCAGACTGTCAAGAACAAGGAGTCACATATTTTTAATATGTGGGTGGAGCCATGAAGGAATTTTTCTCTAGTGTTGGAGAAATGGAGAGAAGCAAGCAAGCAAAGAAATGCCGTCAATAAGACAGAGAGAAAAGGAAAGAGAAAGAGGGGCTGCATTCAAGGTGATGCTATGAGAAAGAGGAGACAAGAACTGAGAAAGGGGAAGCCAGAGCCTTAAACAGATGGTAGATAACCAATGGGTGAGGCAGTGGAACTTGGTGTTGGGGAAAACGACAAAGAGTTAGGGGCATGGGATTCATTGAAAAAGGGTTTACTGGGGCTACCTAATATCCCAGTAAGCCATATCATCCCCTCCCATCCAACGGTTAGGAGAGGATCAGAGCAGTTTTCACTATACACATTAAGCATGTTGAATCTCTTATAATATGAAATAACCAAATCCAAACAACATGACACAAAAATATAGGCAAAAAATTTACACGTTGAGAGGGGTGTACCTGCTGCCAAAGCTTCTAGCCGAGGATCAAGAGTGGGTGGATATTTTACATTTATGGAATGATAAAGTTTGAAGTTCGCAAAGGCAAGGAGGGTCTGCAAAGGAAGAACATGGAATGAGTAGGTTTAATGCCATAGATAGCAAATATGACTCCTAGGTTTATGCATGGAAATACACAGGTACATACAAAATTGCCTCCAAGAGATGTTTCATATAAAGAAACATGTGCAGCACAAATACAAAAGATCCAAAACCAAGAAAACTCACATACTGATAATGCCATCCCATAAACCTCAAAAATCCATTACATAAAACCAGTATATACCTCATAGAATTCCAAGAAGGTTAGCATTACATTGAAGTCCACATCATCTGGTATAACTTGTTGCAATGCATGGGGTGTTAACCAGGTGATTTTTTGGCCCTGAACCTCAGCCTGTTGAAGAACATGTTGCATATTGTGTCGGATATTAAGAGAATATGTGACTATGATGCCAGCGTGTCAAATCCTAACATGAAAGGAATTAAATACCTGGTAGTATATGCCTTTGACAGAGATGAATGTCTTGCGTAGGCTATGTGTTCGAGAAATGTATGCCTGCCACTCATGACTCAACCTATCCAGAAACAGATAAAAAATACATCCAGGAGTGATCTATCAAGAAAAGGAATACCCCTTAAGAGCATGTCAGAAAAAAATATTCTTATGAACATGTTTGACGATATATGGGATGAAACCATTCATGAAGATGCAATATAATATTATGAACAAGAAAATAGAAGGGAAAAGAAAACCCAGAAACCTTAGATTAATAAGGTTGTGCTAGATGTCTTTTGCATAGTTTCAAGCTTTGCAAGAAATCAGCTTTGAAAATTATATCATAACTACAAAATCAGCTACAATAGAATGAGCATCATTTACAGAAGGTTTGCTAATTTTCTACCAATTATATATCAAAGAAATACAAACATAGGAATGAATGAATAGTCTCTTCGCCCACCCAAATTTTTTAAGGGTTCAAATCATTTTCTTCAAGCTTAACATATTGAATCTACAAAAAAGATGAAATTATAGCTATTAATGAACAAACCAATATGCTACTAAGAACCCACAACATTTTTTCTCTATCCAAACAATTTATAAAAAAAAAGGTTTATGACAGGATTTGAGAAAATGAAAAAGGTAGTAGAGATATCAGGAACACCCATAGGAGGCATACTTAGCGACTCTTACGTCAATCCACGAAAGAGAAAAAGGAAGGGGGGGTTCAAAATAGAAAAAATAAATATATCATACTCATGTCAAAATCTAGACACTAAAGACTCCCTTTTAAAACCTTGGTTTCTGGTTTTTCTCTACTGCAAGTATCTTGGCATGCTTCATTTGTACAAAGAACATTGATAGACTTAGTCCAATTTAAGTGCCTACTGGTCATTACATGGAAAGCATGGTGCATATTATACACATTCAGAATACAGCCACTTGAGCCACAAACAAATGCAAGGCACAAATTACATTACAAGCTATGAAGTACATATGAACTACTTAAAATGGTTTACAAACTATGAAGTACATATGAACTACTAAAAATGCTTTACAAAGACTGACCTTCTACAATTGTGGATCCGGTTAACATTAATACGTTCAGACTCAACTGCAGGCAGTGCTGCGAATAGGTGGATCATTGTAAGACAATCATCCAAGTCTCGAAGTGCATCAACAAATTGAGGATACCTATTTTAACATGTGAAATATAAGATATGCGATTTCTTCCTTAGGTATGCTTCTTTGAGGAATATGCTGACAATATTTTCACTGATAGAATACAATAAAATCTGCACCTTTCTTTGACAAGATGGTCAAGAGTGTAAGATGGGCGATTTTTTTCTAGGCGAGCTACCTCATCCTTATTCTTCTTTGCTAATGCTCTCTTTATCTTCTTATCATATGCCCTAATTTCCCTGTAGGGCAGAAAGAAGCAATTAATTTACAAAAAAAAAAAAAATTACGGTACCTCTAATAAGAATGAACCCTTTAGCACTTCATTTAGACGAGTAAATTCCTCTCATCATGCATCTAAATTACAAGAACATAGCCTATTCCACAAGATAATATCCACTTCTACATGAACTCTTTACTTTATTGATTGTATACTACTCGACAAGGTCACATACAGCGAAAGCTTGACATATACAAAACCAAAAACACCAGTAACACCACTAAGGCAATAAGGAGTAAGCTCTTCTTCAATCAAGAGTAAAGTTGAACGTTAAAAGTAAAATTTCATACCAATGTCCAATGCAAGAGTTTCCTAACAGTTAAAACTAACAATTTCCACCCATTCATGATTCATCTTAGATCACTTAGTTAACATTACATATAAGAAAATATACAGTTTATCATATTGAACACCGATAGGGTTACATATATATCTACCACTCCAGGCATGTGAAGTACAACAACAAGTACAAAAGACTCATTTGTCTCGCATAAATGAGTAACCTAAAAATTTCAAATTTGAAAAACAAAATTTAAAGTTCGACTAATGATTTATTTAATACTGAAATGCCCACTGCTAACAGTTCACATGAGCCAAAACAAACAACATAAGCTTCAGGACTTCTAATATGAAATTTTTTTATAAAAATTACCACCGCAGAAGGGATCATTTCATATGCTCTAACTCAAAGTTGATATAAGTCCTCAAATATTTTAACACAAAATTAATAGGAAAATGGTCAAGGACCTATGGTTTTTGGAGAAGAGTAATCCTTAAAACTATTGCATATATTCAAAACTTAAAATTCAAAACATGAAAAGTTGAAGTTTTTTTCTTTTTTTTTGCCCTATCTCTCTTATGCATGTGCCCCAAGACAAGGGACTAATGCTTAGGCTCATCTCTTTGGGAATATATGCTGTGATGTAGGTTCAGAAACGAATTGTTTTTCTATTAATTTTCTGAAAACAGCCTTTTCTCTTTTCCATGACTTGAAGCCATGAACCTCAAAAGGTGACATTGCATGTCTTGTGATTTGCATCTCAAAAATTATTATTTCAATCATTGAAACTTTAAAGTACAGTAAACAATTGAAAAAAGGGTATACTTTGAAGCACGCCTCACCTCACTATGCTTTCCATTATTTTGTCCAGAAACCACATGGGAGAAGGTCAATAATACAAAAAGATAATTGGGCCACAGATAGAAAGCATAACGAGGAGGGTCACTACATTTCAGTCCCTAAAAGATTAAGCATAATGGATGAGGCAATCACTTGACTCCTCTTCCTTGAAGTCACAAAATCAATATCAACTGTTGATGGTAGGCTCAGTCCCCTCAAGAGTCACTAAACTACATGCCTAGCAATGCCCTACATTATTCTACTCCCAAGGCAATAGCCATTGGAATAGGTACCTCAGAGCAACAAGAAATTTGTCAAGCACAGCTCCTATCTTTAAAAGCTAAAAATTTCCCAGCAGACACATCTAATTAAATGATCAAGAATCGATGACCAAATGAAGTGCCACGATCTCATAATTTTTACTACTCTCCAAGCATCCAAAGAACTAGGTCACAACCATCTGCTATCCAAAATAATGTCTACCTCCAACACCAACCTAGATCTTCGAAAAAGAGCACCTGTCACCAACTATGAAGATTCAAGCAGCCCATTTCCAAACCAGTTCATAATCTAAATACTTCCCATTTGACCAATTCATATCCTCCAAGTTCAGGACCTTCTAACCACCTCTTGACCATTTAGCGAAGGGTCAGCCTTACCATGGATATCTCAAGATTTGACTAAAGAAGGTCACAGTCAATAATCTCCACCAGATTCACAATCCCCCCCATATGCTTATCAACTTTCCTTGCCTACCTCATGTCACTATCAAATATTTACAGCTCTAAGACGTGATTCTTCACCAACAAATAATTGCATGCCTTTCATAGGAACCCAACAACACACCCCAAGGTTCCTCGACTCACATGAGTAATCCATAAAGGGACTTTTAGCAGCACCGCTTATCCCTTATGAAACAAGAATGTATGCATGTTTGCACATTAAGTTAAGTCATATTCTTAAAAATTCAACACGTTCTTCTACATGCCTAGAATCCTTTAAGGGAATCCAAAAAAAAATACTGGGCTTCAGAAGGCATCATAAGGCTTCTATAGGCCCTTGGATCATATCTGCATTCTTCTTTTATGAAAGGAAATTTGTTCAAATGGACAATCAGCTTAGATGCTGAGTCTTCCTGACTAAATAACTCACTGTAGTCGCTTTACCAGTTCCACTCAAATAGGAATACAGGAAGCATTAATCCCTTAGAAATTATAATACAACATATATTAAGATAAACAAATTAATTTGTGCTTCACGCACATCTAGAGGCCTCCTCAAGCTCCAAAAGCACATTAAGGGTTCTTTAGGGTTCCCTAATGAGCATAATTGTCGTACTTATTGACCTTAGTTTTTGGAATCGTCATCACAAACAACTCTGCAAGTTACAGGATGACTTCCAAATTAACAAGATTGTTAGCAACAATATTCATGTCAGATGTATTTATAAACGATATAAAAACACTAATAAAAAATAATAAAATTAATGCAGGCAGAGATGCACAATATCTCTGAACCCTAAGATAAGATATAAATTTAGCAAATTAACTTGGTCTTCAATGAAAACAATAGACATATAGTCCAAGCATGGGGCAAAGATGTCTTAAAAAAGTGTGATGTGATTGACAGACATATACAATATTCCGAGAACACTTTTTTTTGTGAGAAATCTATTCCGAGAACACTTCGGTTTGGGTTATAATAGTGCATCTGGGATATGGTTTGGGAATGCAGTATCACATAAAACTATGCTCCGATGGGATTTGGCAACCCCCAAAACAAATCACTTTATTATGCAAAATGCCGATCCCCCACTTTTAATGGTGCTTCACATTATTTCCAAGAAGAGTTCCCATACTCTTTTCTTACTGGTGGTCTTCTTTAGAGGTACGGTTTCAAAATCTGCAAGAAATTTCAGTTCATAAAACAATGGCTGATTGACTGGAACCGGGACCACTTTGGTTTCCTTCCAGCCAAAAAGCAATTCCCCTTATCTGAACAAAAGCATTGGACTACATGAGAAACAAAGAGACCTATTTCCCTCTGAGCTCAACACAAGAACTTTTTGCTAAAGGTAAACCTTCAGAACTCCCTGAAACAAGAGGAACGCTCCTGACACAAGCTCTAGAATAAAATGGCCACGCAAAGGAGACAGTAGCACAAACCTCTTCCATAAAAGTGACAATTGCAGAAGATCAAAGACCATCCCCCACATCAAGAATAATGGCTGCACTTCGGAGATAACGAATAAATCTCTAGGGCCATTACTTCTTTCAAAATTTGTTTTCTGCCGATAACAGCACTCGACTGGGGACAGAAAATGCCCAGTTCCAAAATATCAAAGAACACAGCGTTACTTGGTTAGAAAGGCCATTCACAAAAATAAAAAATCCTCAAATCCATCGCTGATCTAGGCCACAATAATGCTCCTGCCCCAGCAGCTTCCTTGTCATCCTTTTCCAAGAGGTATGGCCACATGGGACTCCCTTGGCTCAGATGCTCTTCAAGGTTTACTGAATTCCATGAAAATGAGTAATCAACAAAAGCATGAACAACATTCATTTCTCATATCTCTCAAAAACAAATAAACAAATAAATAACATCTAAAAACATTCATTGTTCAATTCCAAAATTGTAGGGGCCAAGGAAATCTCTAGACTGCAACAAGTTTTGGGCCAACTCATTTCCCCTAACCAATGGGTCTTTGTAGAAGGTAGACAGATCCTTGGTGCACTCATCACCAATGAGTGCATTAGAGAAAAGATTCCTTTCCAAATCCCTGGCCTCATCTGTAAGTTAGGCCAAGAAAAACCATATGATCATGTGGAGTGGGGAGTGGGGAGTCCTCAACAGAATTTTGCTCCTGGTGGCATTTGGTCCCAAGTGGAGATCTTGTATCCATGGGTGCCACCCTTCAGCATAGTTCTCAATCCTCATCAATGGCTCCCTCAGGCTTTTTCCCTGCCTCTCATGGTCCGAGGCAAAGAGATCCCTTATCCCCTTTCTTTTCCATTCATAGCCAATGTTTTCAGCAGATCTATCATATAGTTTAACCAGCTCGGTATGCTAAAGGGCATCTCCACATCCCATCGCAACCCCTTTTCTACCTCCGACACATATTTGATATCCAGGTTTTCCTCAATGAAACCCACCGCAGGTCGATAATGCTGGGTTTCTCATATGATGTTTTGAACTAGCTACAGGCCTAAGGGTGAATATCCAAAATAAAAAAATGCTCATATGGTTTGCTGCCTTGGACCCTGACAACATTCAATCATTAGTGCAAAGAATGGGATGACATATTCCCAAACAAATACTAGGGTTTACCCCTTTGCTTAGGAAAGCCAAAGAAAGCCCAATGGGATGGCACAGCAAAAAAAGTTTGAGAGGAAATTGGTGACTGGAAATGCCACTTTCTAACTACGGATGTGGCATCACATTAATCTGGTCCATACTAGCAAATACCGATGTTCTCCGAAGCTGCGCATTCCTCATGCTAGCGAGCATCCCCCACAAATTAGAAAGCCAAATGAGAGAATTTTAAAAGAAAAAAAAAAATGGCTGGCTCCCATGTTGTCAAATAGGAAAGAGTTTAGCTGCCTAAGAGTAGAAACGTCCAAACCACTAAGACAGTCCTCCTAGCGAAATGGTGGTGGCACATTACCATCAAACAGGATGCCCTTTGGTGATCAATAATTCTTTACAAACATGGGTACAGTGACTCATGGTAGATCCCTCAAGGCCCATCAACAACGAGTGCCTCCGGAACCTAGAGAGTTATTAGGAAATCAAAATCCAATTTTCTGACCCCATGTGCTTCCTTCCCGAAACTGGAAGTGGAACAAGGTTTTGGAAATATCTTTGGCTGGGGGATCAAACATTTGATATAGCTGGAAAATACTTGATGTGATAATCCATCCAGAAAAAAGATCCTCCAAAAAATCCTCCTCCTCTCAAAACATATTGACAAACCTTCAAGGGCAGGGGCTGGGCTTTTTTGGCCCAACAAATGCATTGAGGGAGTCACCTTTTATAATAATGCAGCAGCCCCAGTCTCTATTTGAAAAGTTTTAAATCGTCCAGCAGGGACAACATTCATAAGAAAGGCATCTGCCATGCTTGTTGGACCTGAGAGATAAGGGCACAATTGTTTTGGGGAGTTTTGAAGACACCACTTCCATAGGTTACCATGGAAGTGGCAGCCTCCTAAAAGCGATGTCAGTTGATGTTGTTTTAACAGCTGCAAGAGGCTGCGGCTTCCAAATAGCAGCTTCCACTCCCACATAACAAACACAGAAGTGCCAAAGTTCACATAAGCCATGGCTTCTAGGAAACGAACGCAACCTAAAGTTCTTTCTTTTGAGAGAGAAGATTGAGTGTTTGATTCCCCAACCAAAGATGTTTCCTTCTCTTGCAGAATCCATGGCCTTGCTGTGCGGTTTGGAATTTCCAACAAAGACTGGGGCCCCTCCATCCTTCTAGAAGCATAATCCCTCAATGTCACTTCTTGGGCCTCCTACCCTTGCAGGTTGCACAACATCTTTGCAATCTCTGCCATCTTTATCGTGATCTCTGTGACCTTCTGACACACGTGGAGTGAAGATGACTCCTCGATGGATTCCCTGCTTCCCTTTATTCAAGTCACCCACCATTGTCCACCCACCCCACCACAGATCACAATTTTGTAACAACCCTTGACACACAATCTTGTTACCCAATTCCGTACCCAAATTCTGTAACCAACACTCTATTTACAGTCTAGCATACCAGTTACATCAAATGCACAAGTTTACAGTATCAATATAAATAGTTATTTATCAGAAGAGGTGGGGCTGGGACTATTGGAAATCCTTTCTACATATTCTTATTTATTTATTTTTTACGAAATTTATCAAATTATCCATGAGAGAAGAGTAATTTAACACTTTAACCATATCTTCAGATTTAATTTCAAAATACCCATAGAAAAACACATGGCCTTGAGTTGGAATAGTTGCAACTAGGTAAAATGTCATACTTCATCTCCAATGGGTATTTTGATAAATCTCCCTTTTTTGTGACTCAAAGTAGACAAAGCCTACCTTAACATGTTCTTATGTTCTTTCCTGGAAACCCAAAGGCAAATTTGGAATTCAGAAGGGCACATCACATTAGCATCTATAATTTGTTTTGTTATGCGTCCATAACTGAATGTCACTTGAAAAATGCTTATAAAAACCAACTACAAAACAACCCTAATAAATACTTCACTTATTTTGTCAAGACCCATTCAAAGTGCCATAGGACAAAAGTCGATCAACCAATGCAACAAGGCAACATCAGTGGGCAAGCAATTGCACAGCGGGCTTCCAAAGGCACCCACAAACAAAATATGAATATCCTAGACAAAACTATCAGCAAAATGAAATCTAGCATACAGCTGAAAATGCCACAAATAATTAGGAGAACATCAATAAGTATAATTACCTGAATTTCTCCAAAAGAGGCTCGTGAGCAAGGAACATAATATCTTTCATGTGATAATAGGTTTTGTCATTTCCTTCCAACTTTTTCTTTGGCTCCCTAGGAAATATTCCTTTAAGGATGCAAAGTTTCCTAAATAATAAAGAGAAAAATATTGTTAATTGCAAGATTCTCAATGCTGTATGCCTTCGATATGAGACCACAAACAAAGCTAAACCATTTGAATAGAGTCCATATGAACCCCTTACTACTCATTCGTAGATAACAAAGGATATGCTCATAAGTGTGCATCACATGCTCAGAGAGGTGGGGAGCATATGTGTAATGGAAGAGCAAAGCATAGTGCGAGCTGGAATCACAATAATATTTTTTTGTAAATGAGATCATCATTACATTTCAAGAATGAAATATGCACAAAATCGAAGTGTTCATATTTAAACACAAGCACATGGATGCACTGCACAGGCATGCACATCTAAAATTAAAAAGGCTAACTACTTCTAAGCCACCAAGTGGAGTCAACTAAAGGGTTATTGCCAAGTCGAATACTGAATACCAAGTTGACAAACATTTACAATATCACAGTATCTCACTCAAAAGAACAAAATAAATGCACAACTGGTTGCTCATTTCAAATCCCTCCCTGCCACAGAAGCCACATCAGTATACCTTGAAAGACCAAAAAATAAAATAAATCAGCAAAAAAATTCGTACCATCAAATATGTCAAAAATAAAAATAGCCAACCCCTACACAAAATGCACTAGTTCAAGTCAATTCTCAAAACCCATAACATTTAAGCCCATTGCAGCTGAAGTATTGTAACTATCAAAACATTAAACTAGATTAGTAAGCCTCAACAACCTCAAAAAGTAAAGCCAATAAAACTTTTAAATAACCTTCAATTCCAATGGGGCCATCGTTTAGATCCAAAATCTGGGACAAAAACTATTTTCTCTAGTTTGAGCGGAAAATCGAGAAATTGCTTTTCTACCCGCATGATAAAAAATCAATTTCCTAGTCAGATTTCCTAAAACAAGCAGTGTTTTGAGAGTCGGTTGAGTCCGAGTTTTTTGAGACTCAAACTAATCCACTCCAACTCGAGCGAGTTACTAAGTTGCCCCAAGTTTTATGTACAACTCGGAGTACATTTAGAAAAACGAAAAGATACGGGCTTGTTGTTTATATATAATTTGGATTTCTATTGGCAAAGATTGGCATTTTTTTTTCTTTGCCATAAGACTGATATTTTATTTTCTTTGCCATTCCCTTTTTTAACTTTCCTTCTATTTGGATTTTTTAAAATGTCCCAACTATAAATCAATTTTTTAAAATCTACTTGGATTTTTTAGGTTGCTTATTTAGTATTTACTACTTTTAGTTTAGTTTTTAATATTTTATCTATCTTCTTTTATTTTTCAAGGGCTGTCAGCCCTGTAACTCCAGCGCAATCTCTCTCCATCTCTCTCCCACACCCCCTATCTCTCTCCTTGCTAATCCTCATCTTTATGTTTGTTCCTGGTTTCTCTATCTCTCCCCATTCGTAGAAATATTTTTCTACTTCCATCTTGCACTAGCCATTTCCTCCTCTCTATATCTCTACAATGTTTTCCTCTGTAGATATTCCTTGCATTTAGCCCATTTTCCATGCAGAAATGTATGCATATGCTATCAAAAGAATTAACGCAAGGTATGTTTTTCGAAGGATATATATTTTACAGGAAATAGTTTTTTTCCATAAATTTTGTTTTTCTAGGGATCCAAAAGGATCGTAAATTAAACCTCAATTTTCGGCTTGCTCAATAAACATCTAAAGATCAATTAGCATCTTTCGACAAACAATGCCTAACCATAAATCTAACCTTAAAAAACCTACAACAGTGAACTAGACAGTAAACCCCAAAACTCTAACTACATTTTGAAATCCTAACCCTCGAATCCCACCCAAGGACAAAAACCCTGAGAAGCTTCATTTGTAGAGCAGAAACCAGATTGCCTGAGAAGCTTCATTTGTAGAGCAGAAACCAGTGCACCTGAAACTGGAGAGATTGATCTGCAGATAATGGATGGCTTTCGTTCTGGTGATGTATTTAGCTGAGTTCCCCTCCCTCTTCTTACCCTGAAACATGAAATAAATTGGAAACACATGATCAAGATTCATGGATTTGCTGAAAAGATCCAACAAAAGAGATCATGAGGGAGAGAAAAGTAGCAAAGTAAAGAGAATTACAGGAGGTCTGTAATGCTTCGGCATGGTCGTTGGTGCGAAAGTAACAAAATTTAGGGTTGGCCTTTCAGATTAAGACATTATGTTGAGGTCTTCACTGGAACCTAGGTAGCGTTTGATAAACTTTCACTAGTGTCCTGGGAATCACCCCTGCTGCTGACTTTCACTGATTCTGAGATGCAGCTGAAAATTGGTGGGGTGAAAGCAGGAAACCCTGTTTGGTAAACTATGGTGCTGGTAATTTCACCTGTTTGGTGATGGGAAAGCTGGAAACTGCCTGTAATACTGTTCATTACATATTTCATTGATATGATGTGTGAAACGCAGTTTTCTAAAAATATTTTGTAATTAAATAAGGTTCCTTCCATTCATCCAATATATTACCAAAAATGTAAATAGATGCAAGGAGTACCAATATTTCCATATATATTGAAGAAAATTGATTTTCCTAATATCAAAATTTCACTCAATGCGCAGGTAGCCCTCAAGAGCAAACACATATCATTTGGTAACAATCAACAGGAATGTTTTGGTAACAATCAATAGGAATGTTTTGGTACTAATCAACAAATACATATGCCTTAGATAATTCAAAACTTTTAACAATTTGAGAACATGGAAGCAACATGGACATTGATGCTCTAACCTGATCAAAATAACTAAAAAAGAGAACAATAATCTTCTTGTCCAATAAAACAGTAGACATAAACCAAACAAGTAAACATTTGTGACAGTCAAGTCGATTGGAAATGTTCAAGTGTCATGTATAAGTTCCGAGCCACAATCTCATATTTTCAACTGCTAGGCAACAACTATCATATTGCAAAGAATTGAAATGAGAAAACAAGAGATGGGTATGCTCAGTTCATTGTGAGCATTAATTCTATACCAAACATTAACCGTGAATAAAAAATAGAAATTAGCAAAAATTATTGCATGACAAAAAGACAACATCACCACTCTAAGAATAAAAACCAAGAACAAATGAAAAACAAAATAACAAATTTAAAACTAAAAAAAAAATCATACACAGAACCATAAAAAGTCCAGAACACTAAAAAATAGCAAAAATTTCCAGAACACTCAAAGAGTGCAAACCTTGGTCATGAAAGACTAATAACATCTTTCTCTCATGAAAGACTAATCACATCAATGATTTGGGTTCTGGATGAAGAGAAAAGTGGGTGTAAAGGTGAGAAAAAAGTCCACAACACTAAAAAATAGCTAAAATTTCCAGAACACTCAAAGAGTGTAAACCTTGGTCATAAAAGACTAATAACATCTCTCTCTCTGTCTCTCATGAAAGACTAATCACATCACACATTCGCATTAACAAATCCATTAAAATTCTCTCAACAATTCACACCAGACTTATCAATAATTTTAGTAGCAGGCTCAGGAACGTTGTGCCATAAACTACCATGCCCATCTCTTATTTTTCAGCAGATGAAGCAGGATCAACAGGCTTATCACTAATTTTAATAGAACGCTCGACCAAGTCATTAACATTCTACAAACTGCCAACACCCATATTTTATATTTTTATTTTTTTACAGAAGCACAAGGATCAGGTGGCTTATCAACAAGATTGTTAGAAGAATCAATGGGACCATTGTAGCGACCATTCTTTGTGTGACATGGGCAGTCCTTGCAGATGTTTTTGGCATCAACAATGAAAATTAAAACCCAAACTGTGATTTTCTTTGCGGCTTATTGGTTAGCAGTTGCTTAGGGTTCAACTAATTTGGGAAAACAGAGCAGTCAAGGCGAGAGACTGATGGAGAAGAGAGAGAGATGAATAAATATATGATATATACAACAAAAAATACAGTAGAGCAATAATCAATAGCAAAAAATATAGCAGAAAAATCATCAATAGCGGTCAAAAATTTCAAATAGAACTCACTAGTTTTTGTTGGAGATGCAGCAGAGACTGGGTGTTAGATTGAGCGGTAGTCACAAAGAGCTCAGCAACTGGCGTGGTTCCCCTCTCTTCTCTGAGAGAGCTCAGTGGCTGGGTTTTTATTTGGGGGGGTTTTGTTGGCAGCGAGGGAGACTAGGGTTTTTGAGGGGTGAAAGCTTCCCCTTTTTTTTTCTTTATCAAACGCAGTCAATACACAGTACAGGCGAAAATACTCTACACCCCTTTTCACGGTTATCAAACGCTGAAAGTTTACCTCCCCTTCTCACTTAAATAAAATTTTATAATTATATTATTACACTTTAAAATCTTTTTATTTGTCATAGTCATATATCTCGATGTCGAGAGGATCAATCAAAAGGTTTTTCAACATTAAAACCATCTTTTTCGATGGATTTTTGAAGGGGCGTCCATAGTTCTACATCATTAGGTAGCATCTTTATGAAAACTTTTCTGTTAATACAAAGATGTCATAATCACTCTTAGTTAGTAGATATGAAATCTGATACATAATGAAGCTTTTTAAAATATTTAAGAAATAATATTCTTGACTTTATGCCCGATAAATGGCATATCTTCAATCATCCAATTTCACGTATAACGATCAATAATGATTGTGATATCTTTATACTAAAATTAAATGATTTTATTGTATAAATTTTTTTGAGAAAAAATATATGTATATTTTCACAAAATATATTTGGATAGAATACACCTCTTTCCATAGAAAAATGGATCTAGTCAAATTAAATGAATCTTTCGCATGCTCGTGCACTGCACGTGCCATTCACACTAGGAAGCATCAATTGAAACTTTCAAAATTATTAAAGGTTAAATGATCCCAATTAATGTTTAAAGGGTTATTTTTTGTTTTCCATTTCATACATCTTCAAATAGATTTAGAAATTTTCCAAATTCCCCTTATTAAGTATTCAAAAAAAAATTTATGTTTTTGGATTTTCATTATGAAAATATTCATTCTGAAAATATTGGGACACTAAAAATGGAACTTTCGGATTTTGAAAATTAGAACATTGTAGTGTTTTGGGTTTTACGATTTTCGAATTTTGAAAATCCGGAAATTTCATTTTAAAACATATTTTGGATTTTCAACATCCAAAAATGTTGGGGGACTAAAATGAAAGTTTTCCAACGTTGAACATCCAAAAAGCTAAAAGATGGAAACATAATTTTGGATATTGAGAATCCAAAAAGTTCAATTTCAATTAGTTTACAAATATGGATTTTAGATATTGAAAATCCGAAAAGGGAAATTTCATCATTTTTTTAAATATTGACAAAATATTGTTGTAACATATATAAAATAGGTACAATGGTAATAACAGAAAATTTTAAGTGAAATTGTAATATTGATAAGAATAGTATATATGTGTGCAATTTCCCCTTGAATAAACTAACCCTCAATTTAGGATGATTTGAGCCCTCTAATAAACTTGAGCTCTCTAATAATTTTGTAAAAGGTGCGGTTTATATAGAGCCGAGGCTATAAACAATCAAATTAGAGCCCACCTTCAAATAGTATCGAGAAATATAGTTTCAATATTGGAAATCTTTGTGATAGCCTTAAAATATATTTTCATCTTAAAAAATACTACATATCAAGCACATCTAAGAACACTTGAAAATCTTGAAAATTGACTGTTCTAAAATGCGTTGCAAGATGCACTATTTCCAAAACTTGAAATCTATTTTTTTCTCATGTCCATGCATCTTGATGTCGAGATGATCAATTTGAGTATCTTTGGGCATCAAAACAATCTTGTCTAATAAAATTTTTTAGGTAGGCTCTAATTTGATTGTTTAGAGCCTATGATCTATATAAACTTTTCCCTCTTGTAAATGGCTTTGGATATTTGACATTTCCTTATAGCAACAACTTTAATAATTGCCAAAAGATTTCCTTCTTCCGTAGAAGTATACTATTTATTTACTCCCTTGAGCAAAATACAAACTAGGTAGGGGTGGCACTTGGGACCCGTGAACTTGAGACCCTACATGTAGACCCGACGCCAAGTTCAAGTATGCCCCACATGTCAAGTCCAGGTAATCTCTCTCTTTGTTTTTTGAGTTACATATATATGTTTTTTTAAAGAACACGATTTCTATGCTACCAACCCACATATTGTAGAAATGCGGGCTTGGCAATAAATATATTTTTTAAACATACTTTTATCTTAATTTTTAGAGAATATATCATCTTTATCATGGAAATCATGAATATGAAAAAAATAAATAAAAAATGAAAACTAGAAATAATAATTATGCTAATAAAATATTTGGACCGTTGCAATTATTTTTAGATGGACTACCTATTTGCATCCATCTTTAAGATGAATGCTTGATACCTTTGGACCGCATATTGTAGAAATACTGTCCATCCCGCATGAAACAATTTTCTTTTTTTAAATGTATAAACTAATTTTCAAGTAGGGTCCAGATTGAGTCTAGCTTCAATTTGGGTCAAGGTCCAGGTCCATAGTATATTTTGGGTCTGGACCCAACCTGACCCAAGCCATTGCTACCCCTATTGCTAATGATACTTTCTATATCCAAAATTTTGATATTTACTAAGGGCAGCAACGGGTCGTGTCTGGCTGAACCCAAACTTGACCCATCGAGTCCAAAAGTTGGACCCATACCCGTACCCGTCAGGTCCCTGGTTTGATCGTATCCATTGCCACCCTCACTATGAGCTTCTTTTTATTTTTAACCCTTTTATACCATCATAAACCTATATTATTACCAACAAAGTCACAATCACCTGCCATTTAGATTTCAAGCGGTTTGATTTGTTGTTTAATAGTTAAAGATGACTACGAGTTCGTGTTGTATACGATCCTTAATATACCCAAACGAATAGGACTTGAAATGTTTTATCTCTCACGGTTTACTGGTATAGGTAGGGTCCAACCGGACCCCGACTTGGACCCGAAGAATGTTCGGTTCCCGATTTTGGACCAGGACCCAACCCGCCAGGTCCACATGTTGGACCCATACTCAGACTCGTGTCAGGTATACCCAGCGGGTCCGGGTCCTTTGCCACCCCTAATATTTAGGTTCATAATTTCAGTTCGAACTCTCCATGTCAGGCTAAGTGTCGCTCAACTTGATGACCACCCATGTATAACTCTTTCCATCATATGGACGATAGGGCAGTATTTTCTCATTCTTTGTTTGTAATCTGCTCTGATACCATAGTGCAGGGGAGATGGTGGGATGCTACTCAGAAGAGGAAGATGAAGAATCAATTCCCAACTTTCTCCTCCACCCCCTAACAGCAACCCCATCTGCGATCTCCAACGCCAATAGCCACTACCAGTACAAAGGGGGGCAACGGCGGCCTTGCTCCCTCCAAATCCACTGTCAATGCTAGCAACCTCGACTTCTCCCTCACAAACTCCGACCTCTTCACCAACTTCTCCACCTTCGACAAAGTCTCATAGGTCACTGACAACGGGAGAGTGTCAGAGTTCATACGTGCAAAATGGAGGGGCGTTTGTTGTATGAGCGCCCAAGCAATCAGTTGGGCCAGAGGGAGAGGCCAGCCCCTTTAAATAGGGGAATGGAAGAGGGGGGGATTTTTCGGAGGAAGAGGAGGGGAGGTTTTAGGAGGATAATTGGGCCTCAGTGGTCGAGATTAGCAGAGTTGAGGAGCGGGATGAGAGAAGGGCGGAAAATAAGGTGCGCTCTACCAAGAGGACCATCTATTTCAGTGATGAGAGCAAAGAGGAAGACAAGATGAACAACAATTGAACTACCTCTTTAGGTAACTGCTCTCTCTCTCCCTCATTCTCTGTATGTTGAGGTGTCGAAAATGGATCTTTAGGTAACCACTCTCTCTCCCATTCTTTGAATGTTGAGGTGTTGAAAATGGAATGGGAATTGTGGGTGATATAAGTGGTGACGTTGGGCGAGAGTTCTATAACTGACAGCGTTTATGGCAAGAAATAGAGAGGAGAATTAGTTAGTTAATAATCTTTTATTAGGAATTTATTGTTGATAGTTAGCTAATTTTTAATCTTTTATGTGTTTGTATCGAATTTGTGTTGGCTAACTTAATACATAGTAAAATAATGTGATTGTACAAGTAATGAAATGTTAGTGCTGTGCAATGATACTGTGTTTTTTATTTCTGTTTTCAGCTGGGGAGTTGTTGAGAAGCGCATGTGTTTTTCTTTACCAGAAACACTCTCATTGTTTATAAAATCCTTTTGTTTCATGACTTTTGAGATATCTCTATCATCTTTTGTCCGAATAATGGAGGAGTTTCCTAATTTCGAAGATATTTAAAAAGTCTGTTGCCATTGTTTAATGGGAGAACTTTCTATGTGACACTACCCACATATATAAAAGTCTGTTGTCATTGTTTATGTTATACACGGTGCCAACCCTACACTATAGAAGTAAGGCACACCCTAAAAGCCCATAGGGAATTGTTGTTCTAAATGTTATAAATTCATCCAATTGATCATCTCTATCACAAGATGTATGGATAAGAAAAAAAAATGTTTTAAGTTAGGATGTGGTTTCTATAACGTTGCATTAAACAATCCAATAAAGATGCACCTCTAAATTTTATCATAATATGTAATTTTGGTGTAAAAAATTCTTAAAATTACCTCAAAATCTATTTTCATATTCAATTATAAAATTTTAAAACTTAAAAAATAGTTAAAATCAAGTAGATCTATAAACATATGAAAATCTTGAAAATTGATGGTCTAGATAATGTGTTGCAAGATGCACGATTTATTGTACTCAAAATCTTTTTCTTTTTTTTCATATTCTTATGTCTTGATATCGAGATGATCAATTAGAAGATTTTTCAATATTAACACAACCTTTTTCGATGGATTTTTGAGGTGCATCTATAATTCTACATTTTAAGGTTGCAACCTTATATAAACTTTTTCGTGTAAGTTATGGAAATAATGCACCTTCTAATGTATTATTTGGACTTTATTTTCAATATTTTTAAGTATTTACAAAGAGATATGCGCAATCTATAGGGTGTAGTTGGCATACGGATGCATCCGTAGCCCTAGAGGTAATGTGCACCTTCAAATTTTATCATGGTATATATTTTTGATGTAAAATGTTCTTGCGATTATCAAAAAATCTATTTTTATATCTAATTATAAAATTTTAAGTTTCAAAAATGGTTAAAATCAAGTAGATCTATAAACATATGAAAATTTTGAAAAT